CCCCAAAACCCCAAAACCCCAAAACCCCAAGAGAAAAGGTTTGATTAATTTCACAAAGTTGCAATAATTCAAATAAAATTATAATATGTCGAAATCAAAAGGAGATAAAGTGGAAAAGGAACACCCAGATATCACTTATCTTAAATAAGATGAGATTGGTCTTGTCATTGCCAAAGCTTTGAATGAAACATACAAATGCTCACCCAACAATCCCATCGACTTCTTTGCAAAGTGGCTACTCAATCACTCCAAGACTAACAAAAGAGTTTTTTTAGTAATCATAATTCATAATCGTTACCATATTCATCCAAAAATTAATAGGAGAAAGAAAGAGATAAATCTATTAAAGAACTTAGAGAGAAAAACAAGTAATTCATATTTTAAAGGCAAAAGGAGGTAATATTAAATTTAATCCTAATTCAAACAGTCAGAAGAAGCAGTTAAGACAGAATCAATTAAGCAAGAGAAGATATAAAAGTTTTATGAAATATTGACAAGGAGCGAGGACTTATCAGACAATTTAGATGAGTTAGCTGCTTACTTAAAAGAGTTCACAGGAGCTACTGGGGTATATATCGGTAAACTAGTGAAGCCCAGAAAAGAAATCAGCGATGAGGATGATGATAAGGCTCATGTAGATGAAGAAAACCCAAAGGTAATTTGGTATATCCATGCCTCTGAGGGCCACGAATTCATTAAAGGAAACATCCTCAAGAGTGACTAAGGAATTTCACATGATGTGTTCAAGGAGCCAGAACCAGTAGAAGGCGAAGAAGCTGCAGCAGAAGATGAGGAAGGTGGAGAGCCTAAACCAGTCGAAGACTCAAATGATATCTTGAAGACTTTTAGACATATATATGTACCTGAAGTTGTAAGAGAACCAAGAATGCACTTCTATAAAGTTCCAAAGCTTGGATCATACATGGCTATCCCATTAGTATATAATTCATGCTTATTTGAAGATGCTCTTGATAATGCAGTCCAAGATTACTTAGATGTTAAAAAAGCTCTTGATGAATAAAATAAAGCCAAAGGTGAATGGGAAGAGGAATAGTAAAGAATCAGAGAAGACAGAGAAAAGCAAGGTGATGTCTATGAGCCTGAACCAAAAGAATGGGATGAGATAAAGGAAAAGCCATTTGATGTCTTTGAAGAGCAATATGTAGTCTGTATCGATTCACTCGGCTAAGATAGATAATTTTCTGATGAACAGAGAAGGTTTGCTCTTGAAACAGTTTTAAATTTTAAGAATATCTGGGAGAAAACTGAATATGAAAATCTATCGAGAGATAGGAATAGAAAACTAGAGATCATGGAAATTGATAAAGAGTTCCTTGATAATGAATCTTAAAAGCTATTAGATGAAGAAGAAAAACATATTGATGAAATGATCAACTCCAGAGACGAGGCTATGGATGATGAATTAAGAGATCTCTACATGAGATAAGCAAGAATCCATTTCATTGGCAGACTCTTCAAGGAAAGAGAGGATTGGAAAGGCAATCTTATGAAATTAAAAGAATTTAAGGTGCTTAAAATGCCAAGAGTTATGCAAAGTGTCTTTTACTTCCTTCAGTATAGAAGAGAGGATATTTGCGAGAGAGGCACAAATAAATTCTTCTGGAAAAAAGCCAAAGAATAACTTGATGATGAGTTCCTTAATAGACTTGTATTCTTTAACTCTCTTGGTCCCAAAGAAGAAAGTTTTGAGAGATATTAGACTCTCAACTTTATAGAGAAAAATGTAGAGGGAATCAATCCTGATGATGTTGATGCTTACAATATCACACTTGGAAAGCTCTTTAAATGGGTATTACTAGCCCTTAAAACCCGCAAAGATGATATTACTAGAAGAAAAGCATTGAAGCTGAAGGCTAGAGATATGAGAGCCTAAATCATGGAAGCAATTGATGCAAGAGAGGTCAAAAGAGGAGTAGATGTACAAGAGGCTGAGGATAAATTTAAGGAGGAGCATAAAGATGAAATTGAAGCTGCTCTTAAATTTGAATAATTGGAGCAAGAGAAAAAGGATGACGAGTATGGAGAAGAGGACGAAGGAGATGATGTTGAAAAAGAGAGATAGCCAAAGGAGAAGCCTGCAATGCCAGTTTTTAACTTAGATGATTTCCTTGAAAAATGGGTTGAAGATAATCCAGAACCAGTTCTGCCAGAGGACGTTTTACAAGATGTAGACAATGATTGGGTACTCTAACCAGAAGAGGAAGAAGCACTTATAACTGCGTATTTCGCTCAAAAAGAGCAAAGCTGATTTAAATAATAACTCTTTCTAACAATTTATTATTTACTCAATAATTCTAAACCAGTGATAATGAGTCCTTTTGGGGTTTTGGGGTTTTGGGGGGATCGGAAGAG